TAAATATTTCTTCTTAGCTATTATAAATATAATAAGTATTAAATAATACTTATTTTAAAGAAGAAACTTTTTAGATATCTATAAGAATCTCTAAATTATAATTATAAAAGCTTTCTTTAGCTTATTTTAAAAAGTTAGAAACCAAGTTATATTAATAGAATCTTTTTTATAATTAGGCCTTTTACTAAATCTATTTACTAGATTTAAGATATCTTTATAGTAAATAATATTAAAATTATATATTATAAAATATATTATTTAATATATTTAATAATTCTCTAAATACTTTATTTCTATAAAGTATTAAAGATTATTATAGTCTATAATAATATTAATTATAAACCTGAACTTTTTAAAATAATAGTACTAATATTTAAAGACTTTAATAATTATAAATAGCTTTCTATTATAGGTATTATAATTATATTTAGCTTTAGAAGTTTCTAGAACTAGAATATTACTAGATACTAGTATTTTTTCGGGCTATTACTAGAATTAACTTATTATAAAATAGTACTAGTAATTACAAATTTTAATATATTAGTTTTAATATAAATCTTTTTAGAAGAATTAAAATAAACTAGAATAAGTATTATAATAAAAGCTTTTTTTAAAGTTTTAAAGCTTTTAGCTATTTTATTTATTTATATAAAGAAACCGGATTTCCGGTTCTTTTCTATTTCTTTTAAGAAATCTATTAAGCCTATAATTGCCTAAAGGTAATAATAAATAAACCTATAATAAAAATTAGTAAATTCAAGAAATATTTAAATATTATAAAATAATTCTAGTTCTGGCTATTTAATAATACTATAAATCTATTTAGGATTTATATAAATATCTTCTATTCTAATAAGAAAGCCTAAGAATTTGACTTTCTTAATATTAAACTTATATTTACTAAATTTATAAAATAGATTATTTTTATATAGCCTAATAAATATCTAGTAAATATAATTATAATATTTATTTTTATTTTAGAAATAAATAAGAATATTATTTAAATAAATAATTATGAAATAATTTAAGAGCCTTATAAATATAATATTAATATATACTTAAAATATAGCTAGTATATTAGCTAGCCTAAAAAATATTATAAGATATTTAAAATAGTTATAATAAATTCTAAAAGTTGTTTTCTATTTATAATCTTTATAAATTTTTATCTAATAATATATATTCTTAAAATCTAGCTTTATAAAGATATTAGTTTCTTAGAGCTAGTTAAGAGTCTTATTAATAAGAGAAAGTAAATACTATTCTTAATTATAACTTAATTAAATTTATAATAATTAATATAAAAATATAATTCTTTATTTTTTTTTAGAAATAAAAAACATATATCTTTATTAGGCTCTTATTAAATCTTATCTAATATTTATAAAATATATTCTATAAATATAAATATAATACTTCTAGTTAGATTTCTAATAAATTATATAAAAATCTATATAAGACTATATTATTTATATTAATAAAGTATTTAATATTACTAAAATTAGGAAATTCCGAAGCTTTATTAGAATTAAAAACCTTTAAAAAAAATTTATATTTATTATTTCAGAAATAAATAAGTATTTTTAAGGCCTTTTTTTAAAGAATATTAATTTATTATATAATAAAATAAAGATTTAGTAATTATTATTAATATATAAAGCCTATTATCTAGAATAATTATATTTGACTTTAATTAAGAATAAGACTTAAAGTACTAGTTTAAGGTATTAGTTAAGCTTTTTACTAAACTCTTTTAGTATTAAAATCTTAATATTATTAGGCTATATAAATATATATATCTATTATTTCTTAATATAATCTATATATTATATAAAAGTTATTTTATAAAATTCTATATTAAAAATAAGGCTATAAGAGCTAATATTCTTATATTTATAGAACTAGAGCTTAAAAGAATATATCTTATTATAATTATTTATAATAAATATTTTAAGGTTATAGGCTTAATAAATCTTGAATTAGTTTCTATAAAAAATTATAAATTCTTAGTTATATTTAGTTAAAATAATAAAATCCCGGCTTTAAGTCTAATTATTATTAAGAAAATTATAATCTAATCTAATATTACTAAGTTTACTATATATTTTTAAGATATCTATTTCTGGCTATATTAATCTTACTTAAATAGTTATATAAAGTAATATATCTTTTTTATTATAATTAAAATTATTAATATTTAAGATTTGGCTTTTCTTTTTCCTTATTTTTTAGGAAAATCTTTTCTAAAATACTTCTTTATAATAATAATATTAACTTGCTTTTATAAATATTTTAACTCTTTTATAATTTTAGTCTTATTAGAGTTCTATTAAGCCTATTTAATATATTTGAAATATTTTATATTTCTAAGAAGTATTCTTTCTATTTATAAGTCTAATAAACTATATCTAAAATAGAACTAGGATTTTATTAAGGCCTTAAAGAGGCTAAAGTATTACTTAAGGATTTCTTATATAATTTTTGGAATTTATTCTTTTTTTAATAGCCTTATAAATCAGAATTTACTAAGTTAGAGTTCTTAAAGGCAAAATTACTTTTATTAGATTTCTTTATCTTTACTTTCTTTAATTTAAAATAAATAATATATTCTATTTTCTAAGCTTTCTTAAGCTATTTAAAAATAAATATTACTTTATTTTTTAAGAAAATAGATATAAGTATTTAATAAGTCTTATAATTAAATAAAGTACTATTAAGAGTCCGAATTCGGTCTTTTTTAGAATATAGGTCTTAATTAACTTCGAGACTAATTATTCGAATATATAACTTAGTAATTATCTTATTATTTTTCTAATAAAAATCTCGAAGTTCCTTAAAAGTATCTTATTAATAAGTTTAAGGTATTTAAAATATATTAGCCAAATAGGCCTTAAATTACTTCTAATAGACCTTATATAATAGTAGGTTTTATTTTATTATAGCCTTTTAAATATTATAAGATTCGTTTCTAAAAAATACTTATAATAGAATTAATTTTAGAAAAGTATTTATTATAAGTTTAAAATTAGATTCTAAAAACTATTTTCTAGAAAGATATAAATATTCTTTATTTTTTAAGAAACTTCCTATAATATAAGTTAGATATTCGGACCTTAAAAAGCTTCTTTTAATCTAAATATATTTTCAGGATATTATATAGTAGTTTCTAATAAATAATATCGAGATTATTCTTAAAGCTTATTATATTAAAAAAGAAAGTAAGTTCTAATTCTATTTCAGGAAGTTTTCTAATAGGAATTATTAAGGAAAATAAGATAAACTTATAAATAGAGTTTCTATAAAATATAATAAATTATAAGATATTTTTAAAAATACTTTTATATTACTCTAATTATAAAATATATTAGTTAATTATATTTACTAATTCTTGCTTTTATTAAAGTACTTTAATTTTAATATATAAGCCTTATTTTATAGTTTAAGTAATAGTAATTTAGGTATTAATTTCGGTATCTTAATTATTACCGGAATTATTTCTGTTATTATTACTAGCTCTTAAAGGCTTCTAAAAAGCTTTATTAAAAGTATTAGATAAGCCTTTACTATTACTTATATCGGAATTAATCTAATTAACTTTTTTTATAGAAATAGCTTTAGTAAGAAATTATATATTTTGCAGATTTCGAGATATAATTACTTATTAAACTACTTCCTTTAAGGATAAAGAGATTAGCTTATAAGGTATTTATTAATAGATAATAAGATAATAGAATAAATTAGTAAGTTATAAAACTATAGTATTAAATTTAGTATAGAACTAATCTCTATCTCTTTTATAAAGTTCAGAAAAAACCCTTCTAAATAGAAGGCCCTAATAATATATATATAATTAGTAATTTATAAGCCTAATACTTATAATATAAATATATTTTTTATTTATATTATATTATAATAATAATATAAATAAATAATATAAATAAAAAATTAAAATTATGAAAATTATAAAAATATAAAACTTATAAAAATTATATAATTTTGTTTTTAATAAATTAACTATTAGTAAACTTAATAAATATTAAAAAGTAATAATTAAATATTTAAAATATATATTTTTAAAATTATAATTTTAAATTATAATTTTATTTAATTTTAAATATATTAATATAATTTATAAAAAAAACTACTAAGAAATAATAAATTAAAAGAAATCTATTAATTATAAAATTATAAAATAAATTAAAAAAATAATAATAAATAAATTAGTAAATAATATTATAATAGTACTAATTAGAAGCTATATAGGAATAGCTATTATATAACTAGTTTCACCTAGCTAGCCGGCGTTTTAGTAGTTTTAGCTAGTACTTTTCTTCTTTTATTCTCTTTTCTTCTCTCTTTCTTCTTCTTCTCTTTAGCTTAGTATTTTTAATATATGAAATTCTTGGATCTTTAAGCTCTAGCTATTGCCTTAATTCCGATATTATAAATATTATAAATTAATAAAAGAATTAATAAAATTTTCAAATTATAAAGCAAATATTCTTTAATATATACTTTTACTTTTTATTAATATATATTTTAACTTTTCTTATTATCTAGAAAACTTAAAATAAAGCTTATAATATTTTAAAATATTATATAATTAAGGAAAATAGAATTAAATATATATTTAAAAGTATTTTTAATAAGGCTATATTATAATATAAATAGTAATTTCTAAGTAAAGAGAAGCATATAAGAATATAAATATATTTAGAGTATATTAGTAAATTTAATAGTTTTAGCTTCTTTAAGAACGAGACCCAAGTATTATATAATTATCAAATCTGGACCCACTGTGGGTCCAGAATTGTATCCAATCCCCTATTGCGCTATGGCTCGTATTGGGGAATGGGCCTTTATACGTCGACTAGCGCCTTGATGCAATAAGGATAATCTCTATAGCTTTCGCTCATTACAAGTTGCAATAAATTCTTTGAAATAGATCAAATAAAAAGAAACGATGAGATTTGTTACTTTTTCAAGCTGCAGCCTATGTATTAACTCAAGTCGTATTTCCTCTCCATTAGCCAAATTGCAGCAAGCATGACGGCAGTTGCACTCGCAGCCAGACTCACATTCCTCCTCTCCTTCCTCCGCTGACCCCGGCTAGCGATTTCATCATTCTTTTGGCTTTCTTCCCCTTCATCTTCAAGCGTCCCAGTAACAACTTCATCATCCTTCGGGACCTTAATACCGTCACCGATTGCTTTTCCATGGCCTGCTGGCTCTTCAACATCTTCGCTTTCCTTCGCGACTCCCTCACCGGCTCTACCATCCTCAGTACTCAGACTCTTGGCCCGTTTCGATTCCACCATGAAGAGTGAATCACTGACACTCAACCCCGCCATCCCACTTCCCAAGACCCATTCACTTGCACTATCAGAAGATGAATGTACGAAGTCAGGGTCGGTGTGCGCACTACCACTTCCATCTTTGGGAGGGGGATCATTAAAACCGAAGTCTCCACTGTCCGGAGTGTCTCGTCCGTTCTCTGCTTCGAGGGTATCTTTCGTAGTCGGTTGGTTTTCATCGTCTATGTCCGAGGACGTAGTCAGGTCACTCGTGATCTCAGCGCAATGCCTTTCTGTCCTCTGGCGAGCCGAAGTTGGTTCCCCACCAATCTTGAGATGTGTGTGGGAAGTGGTACAACCATTCATCTTTGTTGCCAAACCACCGTCGTGATTCGTGTCCTTTGCTCTGTTGTCTTCGCCTGTGCCTCCTTTAGCGTCCCTCACTCCTTCGTGATTTGTCGTCCTGGTCTCGCTCTCATGCTCCACCTCGCCGACCGTCGATGGAATTGGCATCTGCAACGATGGCGGCATTTGCATCCTACTCAACTGGGCGAGGAAACTCTCAGCTGACAACTCGTAGTCTTCGTTCTGGTGAATCGATCCTGTTTCTGGGTTGATATCGACGATGATCCAGCCGTCGATCTCGATGTAAGATCCCAATAGGTCAAAGAGGGGAAGCGTTTCCGTCATGGTGAAAGAAAAGCTAGGCTCTCCGTTCGTGTGAGGCCAATGAGGATGTTCCGGGGGTTTCGTAGATTAATTGCAAGCACTCTTAAAGAACCTGGGTTGGCCGGTCCATTCACGGAACAGATGGCCCATTGAGGAACCAGACAAGTCCACCTCGAATATCGTTCGAGCCACAGCACCAAGTCACAATTTCGACTCCAGTGATTCAAAGACGAAAGCAATGCCGCCCAATCCCACTCCTGCAATCCCCTCTTTCCTGCTTGTCTGAAGTGCAGTATCTGCATCAATGTCCCGCAGAGTCTCAGAGTAATGAATACATCTTGTCACGGCAGGGAGCTGATATTTCAATATAATCTGCTCGCTATAAGTCTCCGTATTCTGAATAGTCTCAAAAAACTTAGGGCTCTCAGCATTTACACTAGCTATAGAAATCCAACCACAGAGGACTCTAAAAAAGTGTGATTAATTCCTTTTAATATATTTGTCCATATTTAGTCACTTCGGGGTGTATGAATCACCCGAAACTCTATCCACTACCGAACAAAGGCATTCACTTAACCAATCAATACCCTCCTCCACTCTCCCCTACTCCTGTAATAAATGCCGCAAGACTGAATAAACAAGCTCACCAAAGCAACTTCATCAATTGAATATTGAAACAAAATTCATTACGCCTCTATGGAATTGATCAAGATTGTACCTGGAATTCAAGGCATCAGGAAAAAACTCGTCCTGCTCACCAGCGCCCTTCTCTTCCACCAGACTTCTATCCACATCCAATGAAGCAAGAGAGTCTTCTTTGTTATATTGTCGTGCTAGCTTCACATGCTTCAGGACTCTCAGGGACGGCTCTCTCAGCTCTCCGGCATTCGGTCTAGACTCCAAATGATCCATCGCTGGCCAGCCCCATGCGTTGGCTTCCGTAGGATCAATATTGGCAAGACTATAGTGCTTTATTTCTAGGAAAATCTCTATTGTATGAAGATCTCCTAACTCAGCTAATGTGTGCAGTATTATTCCTCTCCCCTGATGCCTCTGATCAAGTCTGAGTCGCAAGCCCAGCAAGTATTTAAGCACCCGGTGGCAATTCAACCACACCCACTTTTGAAGAGCATAGCCCCCCCATTTATCTTCAAGGGTGAGAGCAGCTCCACGCCGATGAAGAAGTTGCACGGCGTTGATTTGGTCGCCAAGTATTGCGTGTCTAACAGGGGTTTCCAGATGGTGGTTTGAGGCTTCAATGTTGGATCCTCCATCAACCAGAAGTTGCACAACATTATAGTGTCCCATAATGGAAGCGTGACAGAGAGGCGTACTACCAAACTGTTGAACTAGCTAAAGCAATATAGCTAGGGTCACGTGCTTGCAATGTAAACCAAGTAAACGGTACTGAATTGACTGCTGTTCTACAGTGGTAAGTAGCCCGTATATATAGCCCTGAACCCCCTAAGTCACATGTACTAAATCCCTATGCCAGCTGAACCGATTACAGCTATACAGGGTATTCCAGCCGTACATGGTATTCCAGCTATACAGGGTATTCCAGCCGTACAGGGTATTCCAGCTATACAGGGTATTCCAGCCGTACAGGGTATTCCAGCTATACAGGGTATTCCAGCTGGACAGGGTATTAAGCTAGTGCACAGCCCCATGGCGTTCGGTTCCAGGGCTTACTAAGCCTATTAGGGGCCTCAGGCCCCTAATTTCAACACAAACTGACCACGCACTTCCAAGTCAGCACCACCCGTTACGAGGGCTTTTGCAGCAGAAAATGAGCCCAACGCAGCGACGACGTGGAGCGGCGCTTTGCCGTGTTGGTCCGTGATATCTGGATTTGCGCCTTGAGCTAGTAGAATGCGAATAGCTGATGTGTTGGTCTGGTAGGCTGCCAAATGCAAGCATGTGCGTCCTAAAGAGTCTGCATCATCTATTTCTCCCGCGCACAGATGCAATATCTTGTCTAGCGACTCGCATGTGAGGCCAAGAGTTGATTTGTGAAGCCGGGTAAATGAGGATCTTTCTGATATCATAAGCCCTCTAAGTCTGGACAATTCTTGGGTATGCAGGCTCGAATGTTGATACATGCAATCTCGAAAAATCTCCGAAATTGTAACGCCGTATTCTTGTGAGAAGTAATTTACCCAGAATCTGTGCATGTGGATAGCAGGACAAGTGATGTTGGCTGGTGGAACTCGACTTGCTCTAGCAGATAGTAATAACCGATAGACAGCCAACCTATCCGTGCAACATTGCAAGTAATGAGGGGAAAAAGTAAAACAACCCTCTCGCCCCCCCTTTTCTCAGGTGTCGATTAGGGGTGCCGATGGCAGAATCTTTTTTTTGGCTTAGCGCTTGGCATTTCCCGAGTCTATCCCAAGGAACCGATGCAGCCTCAGAATCGCACTGGCCCCCCAAGGCCCACCTCCGCCCCCCAAGGCCTTTCCCCCCCACCATCGCGGGTATTAAATAGGAGTACTAGAAGTATCCACTAGCCAACCGCCCAAACCCCCATCCGCCCTCGCCTAAAAAATCGATTTTTAATTACACCTTTATTATAATTACAAATCCTTTAATATATTAACGTCCTATAGTATTTTCAATATCCTAATAACTATATATTTAATTTAATCTTGTAGTATAGCTAGAATTGCCTGTTAATATCGAATTTTTTGATTTTTGGTATACGGCCGCACCTCATAATTTTTAGTAAGCCGGGCGTATACCAAAAATCAAAAAATTCGATATTAACAGGCAATTCTAGCTATACTACAAGATTAAATTAAATATATAGTTATTAGGATATTGAAAATACTATAGGACGTTAATATATTAAAGGATTTGTAATTATAATAAAGGTGTAATTAAAAATCGATTTTTTAGGCGAGGGCGGATAGGGGTTTGGGTAGTTGGCTAGTAAATACTTCTAATAGATTTTAGAGTGCCTTGCCTTTGCCTTTAATAATAGTTAAAGGGTCTTCCGAGGGTTTTATACTCTGCCACTTTTGCCAGGTAAGCAGGGATCTTGTTTTCGCGTAATTAATTTACGTAGTTATGCCTATAACTTAGTAATTAACCTCGTATTTATTAGTAATAAACCTCGTATTTAAACCTTGCATCCAAACCTTGTATCTAAACCTCGCATCCAAAACTACTTTAAATATTTCTATATCTTTCTATATATTTATATTTATTAAGGAATAGATAAACCTCGTATTTATTTATAATAAACCTTATATCTATTTATAATAAACCTTGTATTTATTTATAATAAATCTCGTATCTATTTATAATAAACCTTATATCTATTTATAATTAATCTCGTATTTATATAATATATATAGAGTTATATATAACTTAAAAATATATAATAAATCTCGGATATTACGGGTATTAATTAGGGAAATCGGCGGCCCTTTAATATTATAACTAACTACTATTTATATTATAAGTATTAGGCTTATAAATTACTAATTATATATATATTATTAGGGCCTTCTATTTAGAAAAGGCTTTCCTGAACTTTATAAGAGAAATAGAGATTAGTTCTATATCAAATTTAATACTATAGTTTTATAACTTACTAATTTATTCTATTATTTTATTACTTATTAATAAATACCTTATAATCTATTTATAATTAATCTTATATTTATTAGTAATTAATCTCGCATTTATTAGTAATAAATCTCTTATTTATTAGTAATAAACCTTATATTTATTAGTAATAAATTATAATAGCAAAAATAAAATAATAAAATAAGATATAAAGATTAATAATTCTAATATCTTAAGAATTTAAAGCTAAGGGGAAAAGAAGTAAAATATAATAGTAAGTATAGCTAAGACTACTAAAATATTAAGCTTTAGAAGCGAGCTTAATTTAAACTATAGCTTGAAATCTTAGCTAAAACTAATTCTTTTAGCTAAAACTAATTATATAATTATAAGATATTTATTAGTAAATAATAAGATTATAGAATAAATTAGTAAGTTATAAAACTATAGTATTAAATTTAGTATAAAACTAATCTCTATTTCTCTTATAAGATTTAGGGAAGCCTTTTCTAAATAAGAGGCCCTAATAATATATATATATAATTAGTAATTTATAAATCTAATATTTATAATATAATAGTAATTAGTTATAATAATAAAGGGCTATTAATTTCTCTAATTAATACCTGTAATATCCGAGATTTATTATATATTTTTTAATTATATATAATTTTATATATATTATAATAATATTAACTATTATATAAATCTTATTATTAGTTTACTAGTAATATATAATACTATTATATAGTTATAGAAGTACTATTTATATAAGGTTAGTAAAGTTCTTTTTTAGAAATAGGAATTATAGTATTATAATATTAATATATAATTCCTAAATCTACTAAGCCTAAAGAAGTCTAATCTACTAGTTAAGTTACTAATAGAATACGAGGTTATATAACTATATCCTATATCTTATATCTTATTACTTATTACCTATATCTCGTATCCTATAACTATATATATAACTTCTAGAGAAATAGCTATACTAATACTAGAAATTCTCTAAAAATACAAAAAATAGTATCTTTTTCTAATTATATACAAATTCCCTAATTCGGCCTAGTACCAGATTTCCCAAATACTTTATATATCTATATTATTTCTAAGGTTTTAGTTATATACTAAAGGCTATAGCCTTTTATATATAACTTCTCCTCTTATAATATTCTCCTATTCTATATATCTATTTTCCGTTCTATTTATATTTAATTTATTTTTCTATATCTAATTATATAGTATTCATATTAATTAGGTATTTAAGGGTATTTATTAGCTTTAATTTCGTTATAAAATTAGTAGGATTCGATTTTCTCTTAATTTACTTAATTTCTATAATTTCTCGTTATTTATATATCTAGTAAAAATATATTATATTAATTATTAGGTATTTCTCTCGAATAGTACCTAATTTAATAAGGCATTTATATAATAACTTCGAATTCATATAAATAACTAGTAATAGTTCTATTTCTAGTATTTTATTAATTATAGATTTAACTAAAGCGCCTATATTAAAACCATAAGCTATATTATAGAGTTCTAAAGCTAAAATACTTTTAGTAATTCTTTTATATTTAGTAAAGAACTAGTAAATAATATTAGTATATCTAGTTCTATTTACTAGAACTAGAATATATCTAATTTAGGAAAAGAGATCTCTATTATTTATAAATAAAGTATTTATAAAAATAATTAAATATAAGAATTTCTTTACTAGCTTTATAAATCTTAGTTCTCTAGTAATATTCTTAATTTACTATTAAATATATTTATTAAATACTTTTATATTAGTTTCCGAGAATTTAATAGCTTAAGTAATAATTAATAGGTTATATAAAGCTTCTGGTTAATAGACTAATATAATATATACTTCTCTTATATATTAGGTAATATATTAGTTCTTAATAAAAAGATTTTAATAAATAGTACCCTTATTACTTATAATAATAGTATTTTTTATAGAAATAGTTCAAAGGTTCTTATATTAGTATTCCTATATAAAAGTAATTCTAGTAGTATTTATATAGATAATACTTTTATTAAATTTGAGATTATAGTTAAAAGTAAGAGATTTATATTCCTTAGCTAAGAACTTAGCCTTATAGAGCTTTAGTTATTTTGCTTTTATAAAATTATTAGTTCTAATAAATAGGGTATTATTAGTTTAAAGGCTAATAATTCTAAAGAATTACTTACTATAGAATAGATAAGAGTTATAAGTTAACTATTTTATAAAAAGCTTATTAATATAGTAGGAATAATAAGTCTTGAACTAGTAGTTCCTAGCTTCCGGTATATTATATAGTAGTTTTATAATCTTTAGAATAGAATTATTTTTTAGATTTATCTTTCTAGTAAGCTTATAGGATGAATTAATATAGAAATTATAATTAAGTAAGGTTATTAATTAGATATAAGCTTACGAGATATTATATAAATATAATTCCGTAGTATCTATTATTATAGTAATAATATTAAGGATAATTCTTTAGCTAATATATTAGATAATAAGTAATTATATTAATACTATATATTTCTTACTATTATTATAAGCTTAGATAACTAGTCTCGACTTCTTAAGCTCTTTCTCTATACCCTTATTCTTGATCTTATTAATAAACCGGAAGTTAAAGATATATACTTTTTTTAGTACCTGAAATCTAGAAGTAATTTCAAATATATTCTTTTTTAGAAAGCTAGTAACTTTAACTTAATAGGAATTCTTATAT